GTTTATTTGAAGGTCATTTGTTCATGGACATTTTTTACCAATATATATGCAAGCAGTCCTCACATTATATTTGTAATGACTAATGTCAAATTGTTGTTGTGTTTACTCTTCTATAGTTGATTTGTAAAGATTAGATTTGTATGGCTGTGTGTGTGTGTATGTATGCATGTTATTTGTCCTATGGAGAATACGTGAATTCATATGTGATAAGCATGATACTAGGTGTATACAATTGGTGGATGGTGGCTAGCAGTGGAATCCAGGATAATGCACATTTCGTCCTATTTGGGACTCGTCAGCTGGATGTACCTGCATTTCTCAGTGAGTGACGATGTTCTCACCGAGGCTCGAACCCATTACCCATAGTTTCAAACACCAGCCAAAGCGTTATCCACTAGACCACTTGGGCCACGAGAGCTGGCCACCTCTTGTGCAACGGGTCATATTAATTATTGAATTGAATTTTTGATTTTCCCGTCGAGACCGAGCACTTCGGTCCAATCAATCGACGGGAAAATCAGAAATTCAATTCAATAATGATACAACATGTTCTAAAAAGATCATGGAGGCTGATAGAGTGTTTGTTGGTTTTTCATCTGTCTTGCTTCATTAGAGTTTGCCATATAGGTAGGTGATAAGTCTATCCCTTCTCTCCCTCCTATTCACTGCATTTGATGTGGTTAAAATGTGCAAGGCTTCAGAAGTCAATCTTTCTTTATATGTTGAATGAAATCCTCTTCCAAGAATTTCGACATTGTCAAAATCAATTTTATGTCCGCTGTCTATCGCATGCATTGCTATAGCCGATCTTTTTTCTAGACTATTTAATTCTACTTCATTTCTGACTTTCACCTGGCTACTGCTCTCCCCTATATAGCATGCCCCACATATGAATTCACGTATTTTCTATATGACAAATAACATGCATACATACACACACACACAGCCATACAAATCTAATCTTTACAAATCAACTATAGAAGAGTAAACACAACAACAATTTGACATTAGTCATTACAAATATAATGTGAGGACTGCTTGCATATATATTGGTAAAAAATGTCCATGAACAAATGACCTTCAAATAAACTGACTTCATTTTATGTAAAAAAATTTTTGACTATATATTTTGATGATTAATTATAATCCGAATAAATCTTCTGAAGAAGCTGTTGCTTACACGGCGAAACATTCAGAAAACAGATCTTGTTTTGATTTTCTTAACACGCTGGGATTAATTTAAATAAAATTTATAATGAATCAATCTGACTCGGCGCTCAAATTATTCCAGGAGATTCGTAACAACTACGGTCTGGAAACCTATAGACTTCTGAAATGTTTCGATGCATCTAAAGAGTAATGCAATATATAGCATAATACAACTGCCATTAACTACTTATGTAAGTTAAAAAATCCACATAGATTAGCATTTGATTTTTAAGAATTTCTGACTAACAACAACAGCGTCGGTGGCACAGTGGTTAGGACTCTCGCCGACCATGCACATGGTCCTGGGTTCGAGCCCTCGCCGACGCACACCTGATATCAATGGTCGGCCTGCAAAATTTGGGCTACCGATATCCATGCTGAAAATTCCACACTTGTACCAAAAATACAGTGTGGAATCAAGCTGTAATCAAAAATAAATAAATAAATTTCTATAGTTTTGGTTTGTAAGGATTAGTTATGTTTTACGAGTTGATCACGGATTGATATCAGTTAGAGAACCATTGAAAACCAGCACTGGAGTACTGGACAGCTGCTGTTTCATCCTAGTTTGGGAATCATCGGCAGTACGCACCCACTGGGATTCGAACCCAGGACCTTCCAGGTACAAGGCAAGCTCGTATACCATTCATCAACTCACTGGGACCCGATTCAATGGCTCGTGAATTCTAACTTCTACCGATTCGTGATTTAGCGCGACCCCAACCATTGTCGTTGGTGGGACATCCATCCACACACGTGACATCTAATTGGACCTCACTGGTCACGACTTCTCACTAGAACTCAGGAAACTCCAACCTGTAGCAAGTCACTAGCGAGCATCAGATTAACTTTCTATAGTTTTGGTTTGTAAGGATTAGTTATGTTTTACGAGTTGATCACGGATCGATATCAGTTAGAGAACCATAAATAAATAAATAAATTCCTCTCATTGTAGCACGAATCGACTAATTCTATATTATCAAGTGTTGATTTTGTAAGGATTTTTGTTTGATTGCATAAAGGATTACATTATGACGCAGTGACCTGGGGTTCTACTGGGAATCCGTGACCAGCATAGTACAAACCGGGTTGAAGATGAGGCAGTAACTCACTCATTGAAGAAGAAGACATTGCGAAATAGTTGCTTTATGTCGTGAATTGGCAGAAGTTAAAATTAAAGAACCATTGGATCGGGTTCCAGTGGCTGCTCAATGGTCTACGAGCTCGCTGGCCTTGTAACCAAAAGGTTTTGGGTTCAAACAACATTCGGGTGGGTGCGCACTGATGCAGAGTCCCAAACTAGAACGAAAAGTTAGCTGTCCAGTACTTCCAGGTTTTCCAGTGGTTCTCTAACTGATGTCAGCTCATGATGAAATTGTCCATGCAATTACATATTAGTTTAATTATCAGATGTATCAAAAAGTCAGTGAATCAGAATTAGTATTAACTGGATGACACAGTTTCGAACACAATTCATTATTGCTGTTCATAATCAGATCATCAACCATAATCACACGACTTCGAAACTCGAGTTTTCTTTGTCTTCTCCTATTTATCGTCGTCATTGGAGTGGTAGTAGAATTTTCCAGATATCTGGGTGGACAGGTGTTAGTTGAATCATTCCTATTACACGTATTCCCCCGTTTCACTTGATTCGATAAACAAAGCTTCCGTTGTTATCAATCTCTCCCTACCTCCCTCCATCCACCCAGCTGTGAAATTAGATTTTAAAACTGTCATCCCATCTCACCCAGCCTATTGTATGGTTGTGTGGTGTGTGTGTGACTGCATGTAGTGGTTGCAATAGCTGGTGAACTATTCTCTAGATTTCTTATCTTATTCGGGTCAACCAATCTAGATTTTGGTGCTAGGCTTTTATGCTCGGCTAGTCTGACTGACCCACTGACCCCTGTTCTACTAGTTTGGCCCATCTATGTATTTGACCTGACAATCATTCCAGCAGACAGGGTATTAGATAAACTAAATTGTTTTGTTTTAAAGGCTCCACTGTCAGGATTGATCCTTCAACCGATAAGGCTTGTTTCTAATTGATTCTGTGTGGAGGGGTTTAATTCCAACCAACTTTTATTCCTACCTGCCTTGTTAAGAATTCTGTGTGAGGTAGTTTCCGATGTTCCTTATTGGTATGGAATTACTACTGATGATTTAGATTCCTTATTGTCGGTGTTGTCATTATCTTCTGCATGTTTGATATGCATGTCGTCATTAATAATAATATCATTATTATCACCATCACTATCACAACTATCATTATTTATTTTATTTTAATTTTAACATTTCCCTACATATTTCCTGACGAATTTATCAGGGTAATTATTAAGTTTTAAGACTTCTCTTATATTTAAGTGTTGGTTTGTAGGGATTTGGTTGGTTTTAGGATTTCATCATGAGCTGACATTAGTTAGAGAACCATTGGAAAACCTGGGAGTACTGGACAGCTGTTTCCCCCGTCCTAGTTCGGGACTCTTCAGCAGTACGCACCCACCGCCATCGTCCGAACCCAGGACCTTCCGGTTACAAGGCGAGCTCGTATGCCATTAAGCCGCTGGGACCCGATCCAATGGTCCTTGAATTCCAACTTCTGCCAATTCACGACATAGTGAGACCGCTAGCCAATGTCTTCGGTGGCGAGTATTTGTCCTCACACCCGACCCGCTGCACCCTACTGGTCAGGAATTCCCACTGGAACCCAGGTAACTACCTACCTGAATAGGGCCAGTCACCAGTGAACATCTCATTGGTATTTAAGTGTTGGTTTGTAGGGATTTGGTTGGTTTTAGGATTTCATCATGAGCTGACATTAGTTAGAGAACCATTGGAAAACCTGGGTGTACTGGAAATCAACCAACCTGGACAGTACTGGATCATTGGTTCGGGACCCAGTAGCTTAATGGTATACGAGCTCGCCTTGTAACCGGAAGGTCCTGGGTTCGAACGACGGCGGTGGGTGCGTACTGCTGGAGAGTCCCGAACTAGGACGGGGGAAACAGCTGTCCAGTACTCCCAGGTTTTCCAATGGTTCTCTAACTAATGTCAGCTCATGATGAAATCCTTCTCTTATATATCTCACTTCCTGTCTGATGAATCGACTACTTTTTTGACCTGTTAATCTATCCTATGGTCAAAGAAAAAAGTTTTTGCTGACAGCAACATTAGTTCGTTAGTAAGTTGTTTCACAATTCTGAGCCTTATATAATAAACTGACCGTCATAGACTCTGACAACTTAGATAGAATAAGTGTTCATTTTTCCCAAAGTGTCAGTCCACAGGAATTTGATTGGTTATAGCTTTGACCATAAGCTGATATTAGTTAGAGAAGCATTGTAAAACTAGGGAGTACTAAACTGCTGTTTCATTTTGGTCTGGAACTCTACACATCAAAAGTCGTAATTAGTTGGGAAGACGAAGTCAGGTAGGAGGATAGTGTTACTCGACCATGATACTGTTTCGAATCCATGAGTCTCATTGGATCGATTTCGAGTGGCTAAAACAGTTGAACGAGATCCACCTTCTACAGCTTCAAGCGCCCCTGGATTCGAACCCTAGTAGATTCGTGCAGATGAAGAGTTACAAACTAGGACGAAACATCCCTTTCCAGCATCCTAACCGCTATGCCACCGACGCACCGATTATCAGTAAAAAATAAAAATTGAGACAGGGGAAATAAAATTGGCAAAAAAAAGAGAAAAGATTCCTGTTGTTATGAATATTTACTTTTCAAAATTAAAATGATAATAATAATATGAGTACTCAACTAATAATAAATTATACTGCAGTCTTATGAATTGACAATTACCAGTGTGTGTACAAAAAATGAGTTTTTTTTCCACACCTTTCGCATTTTTGCCAAGCACACACACACACAATGTGAAGAGAGAAGTAAACATTTTTTCAAGATGGTTTTAGGTGTGTTATGACCGCCTTGCCAACTGATTTTGTTGAATATTATGTTGGTTATTGTTGTTAATGGCTTGAATTTATGCGAACTAAGTGAATCAGCGATGCCAATCAGAGGAAAATACCAGGGCCAAAGACACAAGAAGAAAGTATATATATCCAAGCAGTGATGTTAAGCGAAAGCCATTGTCCATTCACTAGTGGCTAGTTAATTAATTAAATCGATTATAATCCAATCACTGGATGGCGTAGATCGATTTCCAGTACAACTGGTACACTGATATTCTTTAAACCACTTGGATTATTGTCCACTTTTCTGTCATCCCAGTTCGTAGTAGACGCAGTACAATTAGCAGTTTCACTGATCTCCATATTTTTATCATTCTCATTTTCCATTGGGAACTTAAAAGATCCATGCGTAAACAACTGACAACCACAAACCCCTTTGGGTAGAAATTTTATCCCATTCTCAAACAAATTGTCAACACCACCACGACCACCACCACCATTATGAAGTGGACTGTTGTTATCGTCAGTCGACTGTTTACAGGAGACTGTAGCACCATTACTTCGGGGCAGAAATCGATACTTATGTTTTGATTTCTCTGCATACTCTTTATTTCCTACAAATGTTAGTGCGTTAGTGAATTCATTCCGGGTAAGTTCAAATTTGTCTAATGACTTTAAAAGTCTACCTTTCACACGATTTTGAGCTGTACCGTTGACTTTTGTACGAGAGGTGGCCTCTTCAGGATTTTGTTGTCTTGCTTTGATTAATTTGGAAAGATTAGTTGATAATTCTTCAGTGGGTGGTGCTAATGATAGTTCCACCTTTTCAGAAGGTGTCTGCATATTTGATGTTCGATTGTTGTATGTGACAGACGATTTATCAGATTTCTTATCATTTTTTTCGCCAAAAGATGTTTTACTGGTTGACGATTGGTTCAGAGGCTTGTGAGTGAGAAACTAAACAATACGAGAGAGAGAGAGAGAAGACAGGGAGAGAGATTTTAGTTAACCAACAGGTTGGTTCACATGAAATTCTATTTTGAACTGCCACCCATATATATATTATATAAATATATTCTCTGTTCCTAAAACAGCACTACTTATAATACAGAATGCCATTCTCAGCATTTGTCACAGTATCTTGCATCCGATTTACTCAAAATATAAATAAAATTAAAAATTAAAACAAAATTCACCAGAGAAATTGGTCCACATTCAAGATATAATGTCAAAAATATTCGAAGTACGAACTGAGAATATTTAACATAGTAATGATAATAATAATAATAACAGTGAGTTTGTTTCAAACAGTATCGTCGATTCAGTTTGGAAATTTTAGCATGTTATTATAGAGAGGCATTGAATCTAATGTTCTGTTGATATAGCAGCATGGTGAGGGGAAATACAAAATTAACAGTTATAACACAGTTTAAGTGATACTCACACTTATGAGAAAATAAATAAAAATAAAAACAAAGAAATTGAGAGGATTATAAATATAAGAAGTACAATAACAATAAAGGTTGATGTTGTAACGATGGAGGAAATGGTTTATTTAGTAGTGCAAAGAAGGTTAGTTAGTTAGTTCGTGCCTAACACCATCTTCATCACATATGTGTCGTCAAATATGGTATAGTGGAATTTTCAAACTTAGACATACGTGTATAAAGTCTTCTGAAAAGACTTCTTGTTTTACCTGAGGGGGAGACACAAGGTTGGAGCTGTGGGTGCTGTGGTGGATGCTTATAGTTTGACGAAATTCCTTTAGTAAATTTGTTGCATGATATCAAGTGCCTATCAATGACAATGTCAACGATGTGGCCTAATGGGATACCACTCGCCCTACTGACTGTTTGACTGACAATCTTCAGAGTTCTACGAGTTATGAAATAGTCTTTTTTTTTAAGCAATCCAGGTGTCAATAAACAGGGGTGAACAGTAAAGAAGAATAGGTAAGATGCAAGCACGAGCTGACAAACTGTAAGAGGAGGAGTGGTTGAGTTCTGTCTGAGTCCCTTAACTTCTTAATGTAAAAAGTTAGACGAAATATTCTTTTAGAAATCGCTAAGACATGGGAAGACCAGGATTGGTAGGACAGTAGAAAGAATTAATCCAAGATACTTAACTTCATTCAGACTTGGTTTGTTTGTCAATATCATCAATTTTGCAACGGTCATAGGTACCAACAGCTTCATCATTCAACTTTCTTTCACTCACATCGGAAAGTAAAATTAAAAGGTCTGACATTTGGAAGGATTTAGTTTAAGACCGACCATTAGACGAAGACGATTTGCTAATTCCTGATAGAAATCTGTTCATCTTAGTACAAACAAGTCTAGCTGAGAGTTAACAGGCATTGAAATAGTTAGATCGTCCGCATACTTAACAAAGTTCATTTCATCATCAGAGTGAGGCAAGTCATGCAAGAAGAAAGAAAACAGAAAAAGAGAAAGGACAGTGTCTTGAGGGACACCAGCCTCAGTAAGCAATGAAGTGGACAACTTTCCCTGACTGACATACAGTGTACTGCTTTCTTCCTGAGAAATAAGAATGCAGCCATTCGACAACCCAACAGTCAGTTTGAGTTTCAGTAAGCTTGTTTAACGAAATATCCCTTGGTACTGAGTCGAAAGCAGATGTGTGATCTTGGAAGGTGCAGAGAGCAAATTTATCCTCCTTGTCTAAGCTGGAGACAATGCTATGGTACAAGACTGCAACTGCATCTAAAGTACTTCAACTGTGTTTATAAGCGAATTGTTTGGGATAGTTAAAGGCTTAAAGTGAAGGTTGAAGATTCAGTAAGAGTAACTTTTCCATAGCTTTTAGAAAAGGAGAGGTAATAGCAATATGTCTAAATATAATACATGTTCTGGTAGATGACTCAAGTATAGATAGAATTTTAATGTCCTTCCAAAAGGCTGGGACGAGATTTCCGGGATATGATTCATTAAATATTATATATATATTCTGTTTTAATAAATAAATCGTAAATCCGTCACTTTATCATGCATAATCATTTTCTGGTCCATGTTACTAGGATTCTACAAATCTAGTCATTGAAGGAATATTACGTCTTTCACCAGGTCCCAAGCTTTCGATTAGTTGACTGAGATAATATTGTCCCATTTCACGTAGCATAATTTCTACACACACACACACACACACACACACCCATAAGACGTTCAAAACTTGATACATCCAAAACTGTTTATGTTGGCCACAGCAGGGTTGGACAAGGGTTAAACGTATTTCTTTTGGATGGTTAGTGCCTCAGCTATGTCCAGATGTCTTAATTTCACTCCCTTTGATAGGTTTGATTGAATCTTGTATATTATTTCGAAGGATTTTTCGAATGGCACTGTCCTGAATGTCCTGAGTTGACCAGATGTTTTGTCACTGAAATATATACCCGTTTTTGTTCTCTTTTTACTAGCCAGGCTGGATAGTGTTCACGAGCCCATTTTCAAAGTTGGCGAACGGTACGGACGATGACTCAGTCAACTCCGCCTGAAAGCAAGGAAACTGGTATATGCACATTGAAGTGGCCCATTGCGACAGCTTGTCTTTCGCGTTCTGGCTGAACAGTTTCTTGCAGGAAAACATTAGTTGTAGACTCGCGGCAAAGTATGTTTTCCTCAGTGATTTGGAGAGGCGTTTACGAAGGATTTCTGGTTCAGTGTCACGCTTGAATTCTAGATTAGTCAGAAGTATCTTCTTCTGGACGGACGGATTGAACTTGTTCGAAAGTCTTCTTTGATTTGAGATTCCTGTCTATAAACCTAGGCGGAAAACCGTTTTCCATTAGGGTTCTTCGGAGATTACTCAGTTCTTCATTAATCACCTCCTCACTGCATATCTTCCAAATCCTCGAGGAAAGAGCGTATATCAGGTTCCTCTTTTTGCTTAAGGGCAGGAAGCTTTGAAAGTTGATGAATTTTCCAGCCGATGTGGGCTTTTTGTATATGGACCTTTTCTTAGAGAGTTGTTGGCGTTTCTTGTCAGATGGACGTCGAGGGAGTGGAACATTCCGTTGGATTCGCCTTCAAGAGCAAAGTCGATGATTTTTTGGTTGAGCATTGTTGAATGCTTGAAGTATGTTTTCAAGGTCAAAGTTCTCATCAAAAATGATGAAAGTATCATCAGTGTATCTCTTGTAGAGATAGAAGTCGTCGATAGTCGATGACAAGGGGTTTTTTTCCTGCAAGAAACTGTTCAGCCAGAACGCGAAAGACAAGCTGTCGCAATGGGCCACTTCAATGTGCATATACCAGTTTCCTTGCTTTCAGGCGGAGTTGACTGAGTCATCGTCCGTACCGTTCGCCAACTTTGAAAATGGGCTCGTGAACACTATCCAGCCTGGCTAGTAAAAAGAGAACAAAAACGGGTATATATTTCAGTGACAAAACATCTGGTCAACTCAGGACATTCAGGACAGTACCATTCGAAAAATCCTTCGAAATAATATACAAGATTCAATCAAACCTATCAAAGGGAGTGAAATTAAGACATCTGGACATAGCTGAGGCACTAACCATCCAAAAGAAATACGTTTAACCCTTGTCCAACCCTGCTGTGGCCAACATAAACAGTTTTGGATGTATCAAGTTTTGAACGTCTTATGGGTGTGTGTGTGTGTGTGTGTGTGTAGAAATTATTCGACGTGAGATGGGACATTATTATCGCAGTCGAGTAATCGAAAGCTTGGGGCCTGATGAATTACGTAATTTTCCGGTTCATTGATTACATCACCACTTGTTATTCTGTAGTCATGTTTCTTGTCCCGCTGGTGCCTTTCATCAAAGTCTGTCTTCACTCAAACCACCAAAGTGAAAATTAAGAAGGTTATTTTTATCTATTGTCACGGCTTGTTTACTGAAACCAAGGCATAGTTTGTTCAGCTTACAGATAGAAATTTACATTAACCATCCTAATCCTATGCAATCTTGTCTCTAAGCGCCTTGTAATCTTCATCCGTACCTTCGAACTCTCATATCAAGTTGAAAAGTATTATTGATATAAGTATAAAACTTGAGAACTGTGGTGTTGGAGTATAACTACTCCATTATGGACAAAATTTTATTTTGATAAACTGTCACACACACAGTGCAGTGTAGTGTTTGTTATACAGTAAGTAATATTAACTGATCCGACCACACGCCATTTCGAGCACAATTTATTATTATCACCACTCATAATCATCACATCAAGTCACTCACTCACTCATTCACACAACTTTCTTGTTTCCTTCATTTATATACACATGAGTGGAATTGATGATTAGACATTTGAATACAAACCAGTAATATGGGATAATGTACATTCAGAAATATTAATAATAATAATAATAATATGAGTGTTATGAGTGATCAGTTACAACAATCAGAAGGGAAATAAGACGAGTGTTTCTCTTATAGTCATAATAAGTGAGTAACTTGTCAGAATGTTGTGATGATGTACGTGAATTGAATTGAAATAGAATACAATTTCAGATTATTTATTATCCTCCTCTGATTTCACTGACTGCCTGACTGCCTGACTGACTGACTGACTGACTGACTGACTGACTGACTGACTGACTGACTGACTGACTGACTGACTGACTGGTAATAATATCTTCCACGCATATCTCTGGTAATTGCATTGAGTCATTTCTGTTGCATGTGTTGTGTTATGTGTAGACTCAATGAACCAGTCAGGATTCAGTAATCAACCTCCCTCGCTCTCAACCTACACAGATTACTTCTTAGAATTCCAATCCTCTCCCACCCACTATGGTATTGTGTGGTTGTGTGTTAATGCATGCATGCACTGCAACGTAGTGGTGAGCTGTCTTCTAAATTACTCATCTTCTCGGGTGAGGTCAACCATTCTTACCTTAGCCATTAAATTCTTATGTTCCGACAATCTGATTACCCCCTACCTACTAGTTTGACTTATTTAGTTCACCTTAGTGACAG